TCCACCAATAATCACAGTGCAGGCTCGGGGGAAATGACTTGTAGATTAGTGGGAAGGTGAAGTGAGCCGACGGGACCAGTATTCACCATATGTTCCATGGCTGTCCTAAATTACCCACGCCCACTCAGGCACCAGGAAAACCCTCTAAGACCTCTCTCTCAGATCCCTTCCTCCAAGTCTCTTTTATCCCCCTCTGAGGTAGGCCTTAGGCCTCACATGCCTCCTTGAGGAACCCAGAAGGTACACTGCCTGCAATGGCTCTCTCTGAGGCTCACTCTTGCTTTGCGGTCACCCTGTGACGGCTCCCATCGCCAGCTTGTTTTGCTTTCTTTTCTTTTGCGACAATATTTTTTTAATACATTTATAGAATATATGTACATGGGATGTATATATGGATTATAACCATCATAGCCATCCACTCCTGTTTCCATTCAGCCTCCCAGGGTGCCCTGATTCTCAATTTCATCCAGTTTCATATCTTCTTATTTTATTAATAACTCCCTGAGTCCAGCTAGCACCACCAGATAGATAGATAGATAGATAGATAGATAGATAGATAGATAGATAAACCCGTGGCCTTCCACTGGAGCATAAGCAACCTGCCAGTGACCACATCCTCAAAGGGTAGTGACTCTCCTTGCCCTCCTTCCTCAACAGCTGTCAAATTGCCATAGTTTCTCCGGTATAGACAGAGCCACCGAGGCCTCCCCGTCATACAAGAATTTTGTCTGGCTCCATCTTGTGCGTGTCTTGGGTAGGTAACAGTAGCTATTCAGAGTTGATGCGTTACAACAGCCATGCCGTATCCAGATATCGATACCTCACAGATCCCCTCCCCGTCTTACCTTCTTTCTACCTTTTCTTCTGTGGAGTTTGGGATCATCCACAGATGATCCTCAGAGTTATCTAGTCTCTGCCCTTGGACCGGTTCTAAGCAGCCCGATTTTCTTGAGCCCAGCATGATGTGGTATCCATGGTATCAACATAGGATCTGATATGGCAGCCGTGTTAACTGGAAATGTGTCGGGAGCAGCCTTGCTTATACACTGAAGGTTTAAATCAGCCATAGGCCTTAGTCAGCCATACATGCCTGCTAACACAAAGTCTTGGTCTCTGTGGAAAAACACTGGACCTAGAACAGATAGCTATAGATCTTGTAAACAGGCAGCCTTAGTGGAAAACTGCCAGCCTGGATAAGAACAAGTAGTCATAGGTCTTGTGGATAGGTAGCTTTGGTAGAAAGTTCCAGCTTAGATAAGAGCAAATGAGTCACAGACAGAGTCATAGTGACCTGCTTCTTCACCCAGCCAAAACCCTGTCCTGGAAGATATCTGTACTCCCCCTGAGAACACCTAAGCTCCTGGGCCATTCCCTTCCCCACATCCTGCCTCTATGTGTATATAACCCTTGTGTGAAAAAATTAAAATCACAGTTTAATCTGCCTATAGACAAGCTGTCATTCTTCGAGTACCCCTGTCCTCCAGTTCTCTCTTCCAGGTCTTCTGATCCCAGTTCAATGCCTCATGGAACTGGGGCAGAACTCTAAAGAGAAGCCCTTTCTGTTAGCACATCTTTATTCTCCAGGTTGTACAGCCAACCGTTGTCCTTTCTCTGCAAATCCCTTCGCTATAGGAACAGACAGGGTAGACTGAGGGGCACAGCTCAAAATCTGAACAATGCCTTGCAATGTTCAATGGCCATGCGGCGATGCTTCTGGCTCTGGAGACTCTATAATGAATATCTAGCAACCTTGGAGTGTGATAAGCTTCCAGCTTCAGGGTTCTCTCTCCAGAGCCCTACCCAGCCAGAACCACCATATACCATTGCAGTGTTGACTCTGTAGGCATGAAGAAGCAGTTGAACACCTGTGCAATCACAGGCAGGACACACGCAGCCTGGAAGAGTGAACCAAGATAGATATGAACGTTAAAACACGGAGGCTGGGAGACGGCCCGTGGTGGTGCTGACTTCCTGCCTCTGAGTGTGATGTTAGATGCGTGTAGAATGGCTTTGTAGAAAGGATTCCCCCAGCTCTCAAGGCCCTGTGCAGTCATGTTCTATTTCATGTGCCAAGACAGAACGGCTTCAGGATCGTCTCCTTCAACTTCTGCCATCCCTGGGGCTTTTGGGTCGCTGGGATCACACTGCATTTTTGTACATGGTTTAATTTTCCACACAAACTTGGAGGGTGGTGAGTGCCTTGGATATTTGAAATTTGTCAGGATTTCCAGTTTTTCTCTCTCATTTTCCTTCTGATTTTTTTTTTCTAAATGGAAGTTAATTTTGGCTAAATTGTGTTTTGAGTGTTGACCTTTGAAATATGATAACTTAATTTTGCAAAAATAGGCCAAGGATTACTTCTGTTATTGTGAGTGAGTGTGTGTGTGTATCCAAGCAAATTGTACTTGCATGCACATGGCACACACACATATATATACACACAGGGAAACATACACATAGAATATAAACAAGTATTACTTTTAGAAAATGTAATAACAGCTGACCATAGTGACACATGCCTTTAATCCCAGCACTCAGGAGGCAGAGGCAGGAAGATCTCTCAGAGTTTGAGGCCACCTTGGTTATAGAGTAAGTTCTAGGCCATCCAGGCTTCTACATAATGAGACCTGTAAAAAAATAAAATAAAATTGTAGCTAGGTGGTGGCACACAGCTTTGATACCAGCACTCAGGAGGCAGAGGCAGAGGCAGACAGATCTCTGAGTCTGAGACAGTGAGTTCCAGGACAGCCAGAGCTACACAGAAACCCTGTCTCAAAAAAAAAAAAAAATCAAATGTACCAGCATGATATCTAGTTAGCCTGGCCTCTTTGGGTCCTTTGATTCTAGATCCTTAGCAGCACCAAGAACAGGGAGCTAGGGAGATGGCTCAGTAGGTAAATTACCTGCTGAGAATACAGAAAGACCCAAGTTCAACGCCAGCGCTCATTTAAAAGCTGGGCGTGTGGTGGCACATGCTTGTCTTCCCAGCACTGGAAGGTAGGGTCCCTGAGGCTTGCTGGAGAACAGGCAAGTTGAATCTGTGAACTCTGGGCTCAGGGAAGGATCCAGTCTCAAAAAGTAAGATGGAGAGTGACTGAGGAAGACACATGATGGCTCCCACTGACTTCTTCATACACACATCCACACACACACATATCCTCATCCACACACATCCACATGCACACACATACACACACACATATACATGCACACACACACATATACAAATACACATACATGTACATATATGCACGCATGCACACAGATACACATGCACATGTACACATACACATATACATACACATACATACACACATGCACACACACACACATACAAGCACACTAATGTACATTTGCACACACAAATAATACTATATATAATGCCTTACATGAAATAGGACCTAAGTTAAACATCTTTGATACTGACCTATGCTTGTGGCATATATTCTGCTAAATATTTCCCCAAATTTACCATATTCAACCATTAATTAGCTTCCACTTAATGTGGAGTCATTAAACTAATTATTTGAATTCCATTCTAATAGTAGCATGATCAGAATATTGGATTCAGTTGGCAAGTAGGGACTACTGCTTCGTGCCTCTCCCTCGTAAGAACCTGAGGGCCCATGGCTGTTCCCTTTGGCATCTCCTGAGCACCTTCCCTTGTTCTGGGGAATCACCAGTCCCTCAGAGGTACCTCTCTAGCAGATTCGGGATGGATGAGCAGGGGACTGAAAAGAGAAAATGAACCTTGTTCTCAGCCAGTGTGTTGGAGGTTGTATTATCTTGCAAGTTAGAAGTCTAAATTCCATGTCTACACTCTGGCCTGATTTGAGGGCTGTGAACTGACTCTGCACATATTTCAAGGTGCTCTTAGACTACCTGGTTCAGTGTGGTGGGGTTCAGTATGATGGTGGCAATTGATTGGGGTCAGGAAACTCTTATCCCAACAGTGATCTGCAAGGGTGTCAGCCTCTAGGCAAGCTGGACAACACAGGAAGCTATCAGGCTGTGAGGCCACAGAAGTTGAGGTATTAGTTACATTTCTGCTGGCTGAAGGACTTCAGGGAAAAGAGCTTTCTTCACATTGTTACACAACAGTTGTATTAATTCTTTTGAGACTTTCTTACAGTGTATTTTGATCATATCCATCCTTGGTTCACCCAGAGCCACCTCCCAGACAATTTTATTTTGACTCATGGTTTCAGAGAGAAAATTCCATCATGGTGGGTCAGGCATGGCTATTGTAGACACAGAGGTGGCTGTGTCTACAGTCATCCTGGTGGGGCAGTGGAGGAAAGGAGGACGGCTGTGTCCGTAATCATCTTGGTCAGGCTGAAGCAAAAGCACATGGTAACTTTAAGGCACACCCTTGGCAACATATTTGCCTTTGTCTATACTATGTAGCAGTGTGAGCATGGGGGTCAGATCCCCACAGCTTGGTGGATCAGGAAGAAGAAAGCTTGAGGTGGAGCCAGAAGCAGATACCACCATCAGAGCTGGCCCCAGGGACCCACTTCTGATAGCTGGAGACTGAGCATTCAAATAGTGTCCCTCTGGAGGACACATCTAAAGCTTAACATGGAGTCTAGTACTGAGTATATGATTTGTTTAACAAAGTATTAGTTTGAAAGCCCAGTTTGTTTATAAACGAGAGAGCATGCTAGTTTTCATTTACAGAGGCTGTTTTGGAAGAGAGGGTGTTGTCATGCAAAGCGATGGACTGACAGTGACAGCTACCTGTGACAGTATCAAGCCAGGGTGGCCCAGTGTCATTACCTGTGTCTTATTCCTGCTGCAGAGACAATTGGAGCCTCTGCATACTTCCAGCGCATGGCTCCAGGCAGCCACTTGGATGAACTTGTGGGTTTTCCAAACACAACATGCTGCTGTTATTAGACTCCTGACCAACGATCCTTTGTTTTCAGCTTTTAAATGAGCGTTTGTGGTTTTCTCTCAGTTTGGGCTACAGCTGTGCTTACGTTGAGTTTTTCTTGCAGAGACATGCGTGAAGGCTAACACTGTGAAGTGCATGGAAGTGTTGGAAGGTCAGCTGAGCAGGTAAGAGGCGGTTCTTGTCCTATAGACCCTGAGTATATCTGCTTGTTTTATTAGAATTCAGTGAAGGCAAGGGAAGGGGCCAGTCAATCTTCATAATACATTAACAAAGAAAGCAGGAAAACACCCAGCATCCCCAGGGGGAGGAGCAGGTGCTGTTCCAACGTCTCCTAGCCCAGGCTCCCCTTTGACAAAGCAAATAGATTAGAATGCTTAAAGGCATCTTGGCGAGAACACAGGGCAGTTCTCACATCTCGGAATAAGAAAAGCCTCTTTGGGATACTGAGCTGAGAATTCACGCTGCGATCTGCTTCTGCTTTCTGCTGAAGGGGTCTTAAGGACTGTGAACCGGTTTACATGCAGAACAATGCAGGAATCTGCATTGTCGACTCTGTTTTGAATCCCGGATCACAACCAGCATGAAAATTCCTGGTTGCTTTTTTTTTTTTTTAAAAAATATATAAACCCAATTAGGAATTCAGATCGGAGAAGCATTAGGGACTCCACAGCATGTCAAGCTGTTTCTGGTTTGCTGGGATGTCTACTTCTGGAAATAAACCCCAGCCAGCGGGATCTGGTCCTAATTAAGGGAACAAGTTCCACGATGTAGTCTGTGCCTTTCCTCCCTGGCAGCCAGTTTGGTTTTATGGAAACATCTTGCTACTATTTTGGAAATTGCTAAGTGGCTCTGGAACAGATCTTTCTTAAACCTTTGTCTGCCAAGACAGTGCCAAGGCCTCTCCCTTCAGGATGCTGGGGTACGGGATTAGCCTCAGGTTGCAAGCCAAGTCCTTCCACCTACCAACTGACCTTGCTGTCCCTAGACTTGGGGAAAGTCCTGTCAGAGCTGGTCATCATGCACTGGCTGTGAGGAGTATATGCAGGAAGCTCAGGGGCTTGGATCCGAGTCTGGCTTTCCTACCATATACTAGCAGGGGTGTTCTGACACACCTCTCTTCCATCTTATTCCTGATACCCTCTTTTTCGGGCATGCAGGCCACCTGAGGTGTGACTTACAGTCATCTTAGACCAACTTGGACAGACCTCTGAGGGCCCACGCTGAGGCATCCCTTCCCCAGGAGGTACCAGCCTTATGACGGATACAGTATAGAATAGAGTTTATTTAGGTGTGGGGAGGGGAGTTGAGGGAGTAGAAACAAAGAAAGGCAGAGAGGGAGAGAGGATCATTTTAGGATTCCTGGAGCATATGTGCTGACAGACAGACAGACACCTCCCCAACTGTAGCCCTGCACCTATGACCTACCAACCCTCAGGAAGAATTGATTATCTTTCCCCCTATTTTTTTTATTTACTCTGCTTTTATATGGGTTGATTCTTTTATATTGAGTTATAGCTATAGCTATAGATAGATGTATAGATATGTCTAGACCCATCTGCCTTGGCATTCCATCTTTATGATACACAGTAGAATATTACAAACCACAACAAAGCCACTTGCCCACTCAGTGTCCCCTTTAGGCTGCTATAGAGGTAACAGCAAACATGGGTGTGTTGATTTAGCTCTTTCACCTCAGGGCTGAATTTGGCTTCAATCCCCATCTTCTCAGTTACCACATATTCTCCCTTAGCCTTCCGAGTCAAAGGAAGTATTAAAGAATTCTTACTTTTCGCCTCCAGGGTTTTTTGTTTTTGTTTTTGTTTTGTTTTGTTTTGTTTTGTTTTGTTTTGTTTTGTTGAGAGTCTCTTTCTGCGGCCCATGTGTGCCGTGCCTTGAACTCAGGCCCTCTCACTTCAGGCTCCCAAGGCTGAGGTCTCAGGCGTCCACCACAACTTTTCTTGGCTCAGAGGTTTTTACTATGGTGTAAGAAAGACAGCTCAGCTGGTAAAGTGCTGGCTTTGGACCCACGAGGACCTGTGTTTGATCCCTAGACTACAGGCTGAATAAGCAAGCCAGCCGTGATGGTGCACACTTGGGACTTTCTACTAGTCAGGCAGAGACAGGTGGGATCCCTGGGGGGTCACTGGCAGGCAGAGACAGGTGGGATCCCTGGGGGTCACTGGCAGGCAGAGACAGGTAGGATCCCTGGTGGTCACTGGCAGGCAGAGACAGGTGGGATCCCTGGGGGTTACTGGCAGGCAGAGACAGGTGGGATCCCTGGGGGTCACTGGCAGGCAGAGACAGGTGGGATCCCTGGGGGTCACTGGCCAGCCAGCCTAGACTAATTGGTGAGTTCCCGGCTAGTGAAACATATACACTCTCAAACTCAAAAGGAAAAAAAAAAAAAGCAAACCAAATCCAGTGATTGACACAGAAGTCTCCTCCCTCCCTCCCTCTCTCCATCTCTCTGCTCTCTCTCTTCCCCTCTCCCTCTCTCTGCCCCTCTTCCCTCTCCCCATCCTTTCTCCCTCCCCATCCCTCTCTCCCTCCTTCTCCCTCCATCTTCCCCACTCTTCTTCTCTATCCTCGATCCTTTGTAGGTGAACTACATGCATTATAGCCAGCTCATATCTTATGCCCGTAACCACTGCGGAGGAGAAAATCCTTATTGTCCAGTGGAAAGCCAGCGCCTCAGACAGACAGGGGCCAAGCCTCACCTGCCCCGACACGGGATGCGCACACTGGGTTTGTGTACACCCACAGAGACCGTGGTGTGCGTGGTTGGAGGGGGACATCCTTTATCTTCCTCCATTCCCTCTCTGTGAGCTGTTTTCCTGGACTTGAATCTGAAGTTGTTGCTGAGAATTATCAATGCAGTTTAATGGCTGCTGGTTTATTTTTGTGTCCTTGAGCTCTCTCCTTCAGTTCTCAAGTGTTTGCTTGAGGGTGAGTCAGACATTCACAACCAAAGCAGAAAAGACATAGGTTGGCTTCGTCTCTGGATGTGAGGGTGCTCGGAGACCCCTGTACATGACCCTGGCCCATGGTGGAAAGGAACACTCAGGAACTCCGGTGTCTTATCTCCAATTTATTTTGAATTTAAGAGCTTGGTAACCTTTTTCTAAAGGAGATCTGGTTCTTAAACAATAACAACAACAACAAACCCTAATGTTTACCTACTAATTACCTGGAAGTTTTGGGGAGAATACCCTCATAGGCAATGGCAGGCAGGTAGGTTACTCAGCTAACATCCCAAGGGGCTTCAGCATAGCTGGACAAGGCCAGAGAAAGCCTTTGAGTGTCTCCCAAGGCTTCTGGACACACCTCTCAGCCTATTAACACCAACAGTCTGCCTTCAAGCTGGGAGCCAGCGGTGGGAGAAGTCAGAATAGGAGCAATAGAACCTAATAGTACTACCAAGGGTACTACCAAGGCTCTCAGAGTCATCACTCACCGCCACAAGCAAGTGTTCCCCAGCAGGCTGTCTGCTCCCTGGTGGCAAGAGTCCTCAGGACAATTCAGAAAGAGAGCTCTGAGCTCTGGCAAAGAATCTCAGCGCTCTTGATAGATTGTCTCAGAAGCTGCTAGTCCCTCCTTACCAAATTATCATAGGTGACAAGCAGAGTCCACCCTGACCTTCTCAGTATTACAAACTAAAATAAAGCACCAAACACAATCATTACTGTGAGGACCCCATTTCTTTCCTTCCTTCCTTCCTTTCTTTCTTTCTTTCTTTCTTTCTTTCTTTCTTTCTTTCTTTAGGTTTATTTACACTGTATACTGTAGCTGTCTTCATGCATACCAGAAGAGGGTATCAGATCCCATTACAGATGGTTGTGAGCCTCCATGTGGTTGCTGGGAATTGAACTCAGGACCTCTGGAAGAGCAGTCAGTGCTCTTAACCACTGAGCCATCTCTCCAGCCCGAGGATCTCATTTCTATTGAAGCCTTTATCACAGGTCATCTTAAGGCCCGGTCTCTAACACAGGTCAGAAAACCTCCAAGCATGGCTAGACTGTGTCTGCTTCCATGCTTTAATTTGGTGACTGCAATGTGCACCCTCAAATCCGAAGTCAGGGTGGAGGCATCATTCAGGGATGGGCTTCTGAGGGAACCTCTTGGACCATCTCTCCTGGGTGCTGTGAGACCTGGGTAGAGGATTCACAAGTTTAAAGCTTGGGCTCAGGAATAAGATTGTCTAGATCTGAGTGTGATCCCTTCTGAGTTGCGACTGTTCACTACACAGTAAATCTCTCCGAGCCCTCCTTTTCTATCATAAAAATGAGACAATTGCAGAAGAGGATAAAAGATGCTTCCTATATGCGATAATGACTGGATAAATGAGAGCTATTATTCATCAGTAGCAGTATAAAAACCACAAACATATGATGGAGTGAAAAAGATCTGCTTTGAGAGATGGGCACTGGCTCAGCCATCGAAATGCTGGATGTACAAACACAAGGACCCGAATCCAGTCCCCAAAACCCACGTTTTAAAGATCCAGATGTGGGGGTACAGGCTTTAATCCCAACCCTGGGAAGGTAGAGACATGAGGATTTATGGGGCTCACTGGCTCTGCCCACTTTTCAAGTTTCAAGTCAAGGAGAGATCCTGTTGTGTTTTATAAAAAGAAAGAAAGAGCCAGGAATGTTTGGTGTGGGGGAAGGGGTGGCCTCCACGGGCCCATGCTGGGGCATCCCTTCTCCCTGAGGTACCAGCCACAAGATGGTATAGCATAGAAGAGAGTTTATTTAGGGCATGGGAAGGGGAGTTGAGAGGTTAGGAGGTGGGGGGGGGAGAGAGAGAGAGAGAGGAAGAATAGAGGCTGGCCATGAACATGTGAAAAAAGGGGGGAGGGGAGTGGGGGGGAAGGGGTAGAGAAGGAAGAGGATAAGAGAGAGAGAGAAGAAGGCAAGCAGCCCCTTTTATGAGTCAGGCATACCTGGCCGTTGCCAAGTAACTGTGGGGCCGAGCCTAGAAGAAATAGAAAATTAGAAAATAAGGTGGCTAGCACCTGAGGTTTCCTTTGGCCTCTCCACATAGAACACTCACACAATCTCATGCTGGAAAAAAACAAAAACAACCACAAACCCTTATTTTCTAAAAGCAAGAGAGACTGACTCTCTGGCCTTCCTAGTGAGTCTCAAGGTCATGGCAAGTTCTC